CACTAGCACAAGCAAGTTCATCACTAGATAAATCATTAATGGATTCGAACTCGCAAACCTCACTAGGGCTATCGCCTAGTGGCCGTGTGCATGATGCTCCATATGAACTTGAAGCGGGATCCTTCAAAGCTTGTTGGATCACCTCTAAGTTCCCTTGATGTGCTTCTATGAATTTTCATAAATTGTAAGCACTATCAAAATGAACAATCTTGTTAGAACGAGAGAAATCAAGTGCATTAAGCATATATTCTAACACAACCTTGTTCATGGTAAATAATCTTTTAACATTTTTATTCCACTTGGATTTCTCCAAAGTGGGTGCAATATAAGCATCATCAATAATTCCCCATAAATCAATATTTTTAGATTGCACAAAAAGTTTAAATCTAGTAGCCCATTGTGCATAGGGGAAATTATCTATTCTAGGAGCAATATTGATGACATAACCTAAACCATGCATATCCATAATATAAAGGGCAAGCAAGATACAAATAAAGCTCAAAATTAGATTAGCATAATAAGCTAACTTGGATCTTTAACTCAAGGCGATTAGACCTTAAATCAAAGAGCACCAAGCTCTGATACCAATTGTTAGACCCTAGAGGGGGGGTGATTAGGGTCTTATGCTAATCTAATCCGATTAAATACCAATTAAAACTAATATTAAAACTAATTACAAAATATCCTAGCAAAAATAAAATGCAATAAGATACATTAGCTAGGATAAGGCAATATGAACAAATGAATATATCCTATCAATGAGATATTACAAGTATATGAGCAAGGATATATAAACTAACACAAGGGGTAAACAATATGAACTAGATAGTGGATCATATAAATAATGAGCTATGGACAATGGCAATATAAGATATGAACATAAATATAAATGAACGCCAAAGCACACTCAAACACACTATATGATCACGGAGTTCGGACCTTCCGTCCTACGTCTCCGCTCCCCACTCCCAGGGAGAAATCCACTATCACAACCGGGTTTTCTACGCTCACCCGAATAACGTTTACACCTCACAGTATCGGTTTTCAACGCTCACCGATCAACGTCACTCCTCACAATCGGTTTTCTAGTTCACCGAAAACTTCACAACACACTCGGTTTTCTAGCTCACCGAAAACCTTACACCACTCACAATGTAACAAATATAAATTTGTTCTCTATAATAGATGAGAACACAATTAAGCACAACTCAATGTTACAATCTCTCACAACCCTAATATACTATGTATGCAAATACAATAAGCTCAAGTTGGTGTGTGTAACAATGAGATAATATAATCAAATCTAAACTCAATATAAAAACTAGCTTTAAAGAATGATAATCAAATAACTAAGCAAATGTAAAGCTAGATAGAGTTTAGAAAACTTCTCCAATAGATGACAAGATGGAGAGATGGAGATTGGAGCCCAAACAAGAAGATGATCTCCTCCACTTGTGAAAACAATCTTCAAACCAAACAAACACTAAAACACACTTAAACCCTTGTTTAAAACTCTTTAAACTTGTTTAAAACATTTCTTGAGTACCCTTAGAAGTATGAGGGCATGGAGTATATATAGGCTCATGAAACAAGCCCAAAAACCCAAGAAAACCAAGCAAAAAGACAAAAAAATGGATATATCAAAATCTGGAAAATATAGCCGTTATGCTACAGTAACCGCGTCCAGAGACATGCCCGGTCGACCGGAGTTACTGTAGCAGTGTGCAGTTGTTTTGTAAAATCAATTTAAAATAGTAAATGAACTCCAAAAATTATGAAATTTTGTGAGAATGTTCTAGACATGTAGAATAACATGTCAGACAAAGAATTTCTGAAAAATCTTTTCCCAGTTGAGAGAAATAAATATTTGAACACAAATTTACAGTTTCTGAAAAACTGTTAACATATACGATTTTGTAAAATCAATTGGGCACAGTAAATCAACTCCAAAAATAGTAAAATTTTGAGAAAAATTTCTAAACATGTAGATAAATATGTTAAAGAAAGAATTTCTTAAATATCACTTCCTATTTATGAAAACTTATCTGTTTTGTAAAAACATGCACGAACGAAAAACATGATTTTGTAAATTCCATTAAACATAACAAATCAATTCCAAACTTGATGAAACTTTACGAAATGTTTATAAACATGAAAACAAACATGTTAGAAAAAGAATTTCTCAAATTGAATTTCCATTTGTGAAAACTCATGTATTTTGCAAGTATGTCCAAAACATGAAAACCTAAAACCATGCATGTATATATATAACTATATATATACATAGAAACCAAATACGTGTGTGTATATGATATTGAGCTTAAGGTACTTAACACACATAATATAAAACCTAAACTAAATTACCCAAGCTAGATCTTGATCTTCAATAAGCTCGACTTGGTACACTTGCGGATGAAGCTTGAACTTGATCTTTAACTTTGAATTGTGTAGGCTTCACTCCACTATTCCGCCAACCTCCATTGGATATAATCGTTGAAGCGCATATTCCATCCAACCTCCAACTACGTTGTTTGTCTATAATAAATAAGAAAACACAAATACTAGACAAACAACATTAGTGGTAAATTGTTTGTTAAACATCATCAAAACAAGAAGGCCAACAATCTCCCCCTTTTTGATGATGACAAACAATTTACAAAAAGAAATATATGCATGAAGAAAATAAATATATAATTTATAATTCACATGCATATAAACAAGAAAGAATATACTCACAATATTTCTCCCCCTTTGACAACATCAAAAAGGGAACAAAAGAATTAAGAGAGCGAAAGCTCCCCCTACAAATAAGCACGGGTGAGTATAAGACCGATGAAAATTTTCGGTCGACCGACGAATTTTCCGGTCGACCGACGAGTGTTCCTTCAGCTTCCAACGGCTAGTTTTTTGACCGTTGCCTTGGGGCTGTTTTGTCTTTTGCTCTGGTTTTTTGGCTGAGTTGTGAGAGGGTATAAATACCCCATTGTCTTCAACTCTCAAGCTAACCAATAAATGTTTTAAAAGAAAAGAAAAGTTTAAGCAAGGGTTTAGGGTTTTACTGTTTGTTTTGAGTTTGGGTTTCTGTTTACAAAGGAGGAAGTTTTCACTGCAGATTGAGGGATTCATTCTCAATCCCCTTCATCCTCTTCTTTGTGTTCTTAGAGAAGTTTTCTAACTCCTTTCTCTAGCAATTTCATTACTGATTTTTATATCCTTATTATTGCTAGTTTGCTATTTGAGTTAGATTTCATTTCACTCATTGTTACACACACCCACATTGAGCTTATTGTATCTTTCATACATAGTATAGTTGGGTGGTGAGAGATTGTAACTTTGAGTTGTGCTTTCATTGTGTTCTCATCTATTGTAGAGAACAAATTTATATTTGTTACATTGTGAGTGTTGTAAGGTTTTCGGTGAGCTAGAAACCGAGTGTGTAGTGAGGTTTTCGGTGAGCTAGAAACCGAGTGTGTAGTGAGGTTTTCGGTGAGCTAGAAACCGAGTGTGAGGAGTGACGTTGATCGGTGAGCGTTGAAAACCGATACTGTGAGGTGTAAACGTTCCTTGCATATATATACATATATATATATATTCATCATATAGGATATATTTCACTTTGTGTATATTGCTTATTCTTGCTTATAACTCTTGTATATCTATCTTGCAAGAATACAACTTGTTAATTAATTTTAATTGGCATTTAATCGGATTAGATTAGCATAAGACCCTAATCACCCCCCTCTAGGGTCTAACAGAAATACCCTCGAGAAATCATAGCGGCCTTTAAGGTCTAATCGCCTTGAGTTAAAGATCCAAGTTATCTCTTTGTGCTAATCTTGTTTTGATTACACTCGAACGGAGGCTACGAGCAGGTGCTCTTTACAGCCCCACGCAAGAAATGGTGGGGGAACGTGACAGAACGAGAGCAGAGGAACAAGAGACCACCTCGTGTGAGCCCGGAAGAAATGAAATACCCTCGAGAAATGAAATACCCTCGAGAAATCATAGCGGCCCATAAAGCCCAATGCGGGCTTTCGCCCAACGGGCAGAGAAGGGCGGCGCACCGGCTGGATAAGCACTCGAACGGAGGCTACGAGCAGGTGCTCTTCTACGGCCCCACGCAAGAAATGGTGGGGGAACGTGACAGAACGAGAGCAGAGGAACAAGAGACCACCTCGTGTGAGCCCGGAAGAAATGAAATACCCTCGAGAAATGAAATACCCTCGAGAAATCATAGCGGCCCATAAAGCCCAATGCGGGCTTTCGCCCAACGGGCAGAGAAGGGCGGCGCACCGGCTGGATAAGCACTCGAACGGAGGCTATGAGCATGTGCTCTTCTACGGCCCCACGCAAGAAATGGTGGGGGAACGTGACAGAACGAGAGCAGAGGAACAAGAGACCACCTCGTGTGAGCCTGGAAGAAATGAAATACCCTCGAGAAATCATAGCGGCCCATAAAGCCCAATGCGGGCTTTCGCCCAACGGGCAGAGAAGGGCGGCGCACCGGCTGGATAAGCACTCGAACGGAGGCTACGAGCAGGTGCTCTTCTACAGCTCCACGCAAGAAATGGTGGGAGAACGTGACAGAACGAGGAACAAATTAAAGACCACCTCGTGTGAGCCCGGAAGAAATGATCAGGTACTCTCACGGTGGCCGAGCCATCACCGTGCAAGAAGTGATCCTCGGCGCCTTTGCCCTTGGGCAAGCTCAGGCACATCCCCAGCAAAACGATAATGGCCACGAATTAGGTGAATAATCTTGGTCCCTGTTATTTCACTAAATAGAGCATACATAAGCGGGAGTCTTTTATCTGTTAATTTGTAACTAACTTGTTAGTTAATATGAGATTCTTCGTATATATAGATGCTTAATTTCTTTTTCCTTCTTTCTTTCTTTTAATTTTTAACTACTGTTGTTATTATTATTATTATTATTATTATTTTTGGTGATGGTTTTACTGATGTAGCACAAGTTTAAAATTGCATGCAAGAAGCGGGGGAAAAAAACAAGAAAACCAAATGTTGTATGAGAGTACGTTAGCTGAGTGAGGAAGGGAATGAAGTTGACAATTTTCTATCTAAAACCCCAATAATATACAGGGATATTCGAAAGATCCACAATACTCAGAGCGACCCCCCGTCGTCAGGTTGTAAGTGTATATACCCCCCTCACTCGTCTTCTTCGGTCCCGTAGTAGTAGTAGTAGACTTCTTCGGAACGAAGTAAATTCGACCCTCGGAGCACCTTATTTCCGCTTCAATCTCCTCCGGAGTCCCAAGCAGCCTCGAAAAGAAAACAATGTCATCCAATTTCTTCGGCGAATTAGCCGATACAAGAGCCATACGGGGCCCGATAAATAGAGCACGAGCCTTCAAGTCTGTAAACTCTGCCCACCCCTCCGCGGGTATGAGCTCGAAAACTCTTACCGTCGAGTTCTGACCGCCAACGGTAATCGCTCGAACGTTACCTCGATCCCCGACCAAATAGCTCCCTCCGACTGTAATCGTCGGGAAGTTCTTAAGTTCCACAACAATCCACGCGCCTTTGAGCATGTCAAACGCCCCGATATTTCCATCCTTTCCCAAGCATAAAAAATATCGACCGCAGTCCACGGGGTTGGAATGAGGCGACATGACAAACGGGATGTTGTTTTCGTACCTGTATCGTCCCCAGCCCTCGCCGTTCCAAAAGTAGATAAGCACGCTATCCTTGTACGCGCTCTCGATGGCGAATATGCAGCATTTATCGGGGGGTTGACCGATGAACTCGATTCCGGTGAAGCTTGGTGTGTGAACGAGCCCGGGAAACCTACGAACGGTGTCAGTGAAGGGGTTGACCAGTAAGACCTCTTCTTCCCGACAGAGCACCAGCCATCCGTCTTTGGAGGAATATAACCGAGCTTTCGATAGGTCAGCCGCGGGAAAATCGACTTTGAAAGACCTGTTTAGTATAGGACTTCTGTCTGCGGGATAAACGCGGGAAGTAAGTTTTTTCCAGTCTTTGCACACGCAGGCGAATCTAGGGTGATCCGATAGCGGAAGCTTTGACAAGATTGCTTCGAGGAGCTCGACCGGGAGGTCTAACCAAGATCTGTCGACTTCCATGATCAATAGATTTACTGTCCGCGAACAAGTTGAACATATAACATACTAGTTCTTCCTCAGAAAAGTTCTGAGCCTGCAGGCCTATATTGATAGTAAACAATCATATAATGTTAATTAGTCATATCGTGAAGAAAAGGAAATTAATTAAGCTCTTGATTGTTTCGTGTTCATTTACATTTTTGCTAGCTGAGAAGCAAAATAGTATTTGAAATAGTTGGCTATTGAAATCTCGGTTATATTCCTCACGATATGAGTTGTTAGGTAAAGTCTAGTTTATAGTTAAAAAAGATTAAGTTGCTCATTATCTTAATTAAGATCCTTTCTCGGTGGCGGTACTCCTATCCCTTCTTCAGAGTAATTGGACAATTTATCAACATGATGAGAGGTAAATCTTATGTGACATAAATAAATCTAGAAAACACATGGAAACTATGTCGAGGAGAACCTTGTAGATATCACGATATGAAATTATTTTTGGCTAGAATTCTATGGCATCCAAGATTTTGCCATTCACATAGGAGGACGGAAAAGAATAACAGAGCAAGCAAGTAGTAACAAAAAAATGATTACGGAAATAAAAGTTGGTTTATACCTGCATATCCGAAGAGAGGAATTTGAGGGAGGGTTTTTTTCCAATTTTAATTAATCCCCACTCTCAAATAGCCATGAATTTTCTTCAACCTTTGAGCTTTAACAACACGGGCTTTTCTTTTATTCAGGTAAAAGTTCTCACCATAATCTCTAAAATTAGTGAAGTATTTACCAATCCATTTAATGTCATCCAATAGATACAGGATTAGAGTAACAATGTTTATAAACACAAAATGTAACATGTTACACGTACTAATTAAACGTTAAGGAAGAAAATCTCGTTATGTTTAGAATTGGACATCAGTACACGCACGAGTACTTATAAACATAGTGCGCATAACTTCATGGTGAAAATTCTCAAGGTTAAAAAAAAAGGAAAAAGGAAAAAAAAAGTTACCACCTGTAGAAGTCGAACGAAGAGATGTCCGGCTCTATTCCTTTGCAACAAATAAAACACTTATATATGCGAGGTAGCCCGTGGATTTATAAGGGACATAACCGAGTCAGGGCCGGTTCTGAGATTTTAGGGGCCCTGTGCGAAAAGTAAACACATGGCATTCTCTATATACAAAATATCAACTAATTTAAATTTGAATCCCTAAAATGCTAGGGAACAAAATGTTACTGATCAGACATTAAAATGTTACTTATTTTTTTCATCTGGATAGTCTTTAACATACTTTTCATGTGTTATTTGCTCATCATCTCTTCGGTCACCTGAATAAAATGTTATTGATCAGAGATTCAGATAAATGCATGTAATCCCACCTAACATTTGCAAGATAGTATCATTCTCATCTAACAAGCAAAATCTAGCACGAAAAAGCACAAGAACCCACAACCAGCTTACACGAATAGCAAACTGCATTATTAACTAGCTAGAATAGAAATATAAAATATAAAAATTGTTTATTACAACTAGGTATGAATAGCTAATTACTTTTAAGAGTGCCTTAAGGCGATAAATAAATTTCAACACAGTACATTCATCATATAAACATCTAATTTCTTTATTAAAAGGGTATATCATGAGACCAACAATGAACACCTAAGTGAGACCTAAGTCGTTTCCAACATAACTCTCAGTACACCTGAAATAAGCTAAAATTCAAATATTATCATACATCATTTTTCTTCCTACCTTAAAAATGTCCTGCCTTTGCCAAATCAAGCATATTTTACTTACTTCGCTAGCAAATTAAATCTCCACTCCATATCGATGAGGTAAATTTATTACAAAAGGAAACTCAAACCCCAAAATCCAATTGTCATGAACCTTGAGAAATCCTTTTTTTTCAAAAACATCACCAATTTCTATGGAAAGAACCATTATTTACTCAATTGGGACATATGAGACCAAATTAATCCTCCAAAATGCAAACCCACATGAAGAACACTCCAAACTAGAATAAGACACAAATTTCCCCAAAAAGAGCAGCATTCTCATCTATAATGATACATTATCAATAAAATTACAAAAACCCACATCAGAAATTAACAAAGTAATTAAGGGAAGTATCAGAAGTACTGACCTCCATGGATTAGGAAGAGAAAGCTCCTTGAAAGTTGTGAAGGTTTTCAGCGGCCACAGGGAAGCGAGGAGAGCTGATAAAGGAAGGAAAAGTGAAAACTTTGGCTGAATTTGTTGGAAGTAGCGAAGAAGGCGACGAATGAGAAAAGGTAGAAATAATGATAGAGAGCAACATGGGTGAAGCGTACAAGGGGAGACTCGGAGGAGTTCGGGCTGGTGGTGATGGCGGCTTGGCGGGTCTGGGCCGGCGATGGGAGAGGAGATGGAGGCGATGGGCGGAGGCGGATGACTGGGTGCGGCGTGTGGAGTTGGGTGATGGCGCCGGCGTTGAGCGGAGGAGGCTTGGGGCTGAGCTAGAGGTGAGTTGGGAGGAGTGTGGGGGAAGAGGAGGAGGGGCCCTGGCCTCGAGATGGGTTTTCTTTTGATGAATTGATGAGGAGAGAGAGAATGAGAGGAGAGAGAATGAGCCGAGCGTGGGATTTGAGGGAAGCAACGGGGGAAGCACGAGGAGAGCTAGATGCGGGATTTGAGGAGTGAAATGACCTGACCTATAAAAAAATTTGGGGCCCCCAAAAATTGGGGGTCCTGTGCGGTCGCTCAGTTCGCACTGCCCCAGAGCCGGGCCTGAACCGAGTTAGATCGGGACTAGGATTCCTACGCAAACTTTATTTTAAAATTTTAAATTTTTTTTTTATTTCTCCATCGCTAGTCTTCAAACTTTAGGTTGGACTGGACTAAAGAGTCGGACTCGGATTTAATTCCAATCTGGTCTTCGAAATTTGGTTGCATGATCCAGCCCATTACACTTCATTTATTCCAAGTGGTTTTTAACTCTCTCGGCCAGTCTTCAAACTTTAGTTGGCCCGCTTATTGGCCCACATTGGATTGTATCATGTAAACGGGTTGGGCTTGAAAAAGGAACGGGCACTCACTTTCTGTTTGGGAATTTTTCGGTGAAATTATAGAAAATCCCTTATTAACCCAGCCCTCCTTCGTTCACCAGAAATAACCTTTGGTTCGTATCGAACTGTATTTTAAGTTCAAATCATATACATGTCAATACATAAGTGCAGATAATTATTGGGTTCGGAAGCTTTCTTTTTAGTATAAAGTTTACTTTTGTAAACATTGTAACGGAGAGGGTGTATTCTCTTCGTAAATGTTCGGGGATTTCTTTTTTGAATAAATTTCCGTAATTTATCTTTCCAAATTACGAATTGAATTTTTTCGCAAATATGCTACAGATAATTACTCAATACTCTTGAAATTAAGTACACATGTTGAGAAGTGAGAACCTTGTAGACATCACAATATGGGGGGAGAAATCGCTAGAATTTTATAGTATCGAAGATTTTGCTGCAATTTATTCACATAAAAGGATGGAAAAGAATCACGGAGCAAGCAGATGGTAATAGAAAAAAAGTTTACGGAAATAAAAGTTGGTTTATATACCTGCAGATCTGAAGACAACTCAGAGCGAAATATGCTACAGATCCTAGCGCTCTCACTTTCTTTGATTTGAAACGAATGCCTATGCCTGAAGAGAGGAGAGCCTCACATACATAAAATATATATATATATACTTTAATACATTCGTTCGATGTTATAGATCCGAGTTTGATTGGAATTAGGAGTCTCGACAGACTGTGAGTCGGTTATGGACGCCCTCGAGCAAACGAATGGGACTTGTTAGCACCCATTGACGTTTGGCTCGGTCTTGTTCCGGCCGAGAGATAAAAGTCCAGATTGGATGGGATATTCAATCCTATTACAGACCCAGTTGGCCGTGCCTAGTACTAAGATAAGGACATAAAAGGTGACTTTGGATTTTTATTGTATTAAGAATTCAATACTAGGTTAGAACTCCTAGCTAGCTACCCGGTCGGAATTTAATCGTAACCATTGATTTATCTAGCGGGTGATATTACGATCCCCCCACCCCCTAAAGCGCAAATTAGGAATGAGCATAATGCACAGTGTTAGATTTAATGTGTCGCAATCACTCATTAGATAATGGATCATATACATTACAGGAACAAAATAGAACTTTTGTTAACCAAATGACAACCAAATGTAAACTAAACGATTCAAGAAGCACATTAGCAAGAGTTTAGCTCATACATTATGTATCATTGATTTATCTAGCGGGTGGTATTACGACCCCCCACCCCCTAAAGTGCAAATTAGGAAGAACATAATGCATAGTGTTAGATTTAAAATGTATCACAATCACTCATTAGATAATGGATCATATACATTACATGAACAAAATAGAACTTTTGTTAACCAAATGACAACCAATGTAAACTAAACGATTCAAGAAGCATATTAGCAAGAGTTTAGCTCATACATTATGTACGCTTGATGCATCATCTTTGAAATTGGAGAAGATTTATAAACGTGAGCAGTGGTTTACATCTGAAGAAAATTTTATCCATTCAAGTCTCAAATGTAAACAGATGCATTCAATACTTGATGTAGAACACACGACAGACATGCTTATGTCAAAGTGGGTCAGTCGCAAGCTCAAACGCGGGCCCGATCGAGGATTATAACTTGCTACGAAGAAATGGCCATAACTTTCAAACCGTACGTCGGAATTAGACAAATTATATATGAAAATCGACTATCTCGACGAGGCGGAGCCAACTAAACTGACCCTTAAGGGTTCAGTTTGCTTTCTCCGTTTCGCCAAATTCCTTACGGTTTGAGAGATATCTGGATTTTGATCCGTTTTTACTATTTTTAGTAATGTTTTAGGAGTCTATATTGATTAGGAAACAAATCCGATTTGATCTCAGGTTTGACCGGTGGACTTTCCTACTCATAAGGAGTCTTTTAGGAGTTTTAATGTTTTAGGAATTCTTTTACTATTTTTGGTAAAGTTAATTTGAGTCCTTATAGGAGTTTGAGTCCTTGTGGAAGTTTTGTTTCTTTTTCTATTTAAGTAGAGTCTTGTAAGCCCTAGAGGCATAACTTTTAATTAATAAAATTTATTTTTTTTCTTTAATATTTACTTCATGGATTCGAAAATTGTCCTATTGGTGGATTCCGAGGCTACTACTTCCGCGCTGCGTTAATACTGTTGCGGATCAGGAACGGTTGCAGACACAGAGGCTGTCACGGGTGTGTAGGCATCGAAAATTGCCTATAGGTCTCCACGAACAACTCAGTATTAAGAAATGACGATGAACGTCACCAATAGGAAACCGACGAACTACGTGAAACAACGGAACTTCGGAATGATGAAGATACGAACTGATCGGGAACCTCGTATCGTTCACAAACGGCGAAATACCCTTCGTGTCTCATTTGTTCAACTGATGATATAATCATTGGAGCTTATAGAACTCTTCGTCAGCTTTCCAACGCACTTGGACTCACTCAAATCTGAGTTCGGACGAAGAATTTACGGCGGAAACAATCAAACAGGCATAACGGAGTGTCTCAGGCTGAACTGGGGCACCCGAGGTGTCTCGGCACGGGCGAGACACCCTAGGGTGTCTCGGCCCAGTTTAAGACACCCTGGGGTGTCTCCAACGCAGAAATAGCCTTTTAGGCTGTTTTAACCGCCCGGACGTCCGTAAAGCCTATAAATAGAGCCCCCGGGTCCTCATTTTTTCAGATCTGGAATTTTGGAGATTAGGCGAAGCCCTGCCGGATTGAAGACTGAAGGTGCACGGATTTCAGAGAGGAGGAGGAGAGATCGGATCGAGTTCTTCAACGCAAGAGAGAGAGATTCGTCAGATCTACAGTTTCCCGGATCCGTTCCTTAGGATTATCCCGTTGCGGTAATCTTAAGAAGAGTGATTATCTGGCTTCGCCGAGATAAGAGCTACGGTTTCTCGATCCCTTCGCGGATAGACGAAGCTCTGCCTAATTTTTCAGCAATCAGATCTGATCGACGGTGGTCCACGGATAAACCCCGACACAGGCAAAGATTCCACGCAAGCAGAAGACCGATAAACGATCTCTGCGTTTGTTTGATAAAGTTGTAAACTTTTTATTTTCATTGTGTAAGGAGATCTTATAAAAAGATCAACTTTTTATTCGAGTTTATTGTAACGACTAAAGTTGTAATAGATTCGATAGCAATGAAAACAGCAACTTTCACCGCAAACAGGGTGTGCTCTTGAATATGCACAATTACTGCATTACCGTTCATTTTCTATTTCTTACCTCGTAAATTACCATAGAAAAGAAATTACTGTCCTTTCTTTCTTTTTTTAAGGTACGGTCAGTTCTCAACTGCAGCTGCATTGCTATGCAACTGGATGAGAATCAAGGGTAGTCATTGCTGCCCTCACACTCTTGACTTATCTTTTCATGTGGATTTCTTTCTCCTTCATGAAGTGGGTTTTATTTTATTTTTTTTTTGAGAAAATAAGTGGGTTTTATTTTTCTTAACATCTCTAAATCTTCATTAAATTTTAAAATTCCTTGCAGTTATCAAGGTCATGTTAGTGCTGCACTGGTCCATGGCATTGTCATTGTCACTGGACCACATTTGCATATATATGGTGAGTAGATCCCCGCCCCCCTCCTTTATTTTTTTCTCTTTTCTTTTTTTAAATCCTGAATGTGAGGAGGAAGGCTTAGGAGTAAGTTAAAATGATGAAAAGAGTCGGTTTTCTTATTTTGCCATGTATGGCAATTGTAATTAGGCAGTTATCTACTTACTCACTTGCAAATTGCTTCCTTATCTGGTCCACTTAATTTGTGCTCAAAACTTTTTTCTACTCCATACATGTGATGGATGTATCCTTACAGGTTCACAATAATTACTAGATTTATCGCAGCTCGCGAATTTGAGAATTGTCATGTATTCATTAAACGGATATCGAATTGTTCTACAGGCCTAGAGGCTACGGAGTTTAGACACGTATATATTATCTATTTTTGTTTGATAGAAACACCAAGCTTTCAATTCGAATGCATATAATTAATCGATAATGTCTGGTGCACTGAAATAGTTTTGAACGGAGATTCTGCATAGTAGTTTTCGAGAACAATTGCCTTTCTGCATATTAATTAGTCCAGACTCACTGAGGTGTTCCAGCAGGAAATAAGCCTGCAAATTTTTTTTTATTCAGAGATATGACGGAATTAATGCGACTCGTATGTGAGGCAATATGCCCTCGCATCTTCAAATGACTTGGGAAGCGGAAGCAATGTCGATGTTTGTGTGATAACCTAGGCACGCGTCATTTGATTAATATTCAATTTTGCACTTCATTTACTTTCATTTTGTGCTTTTCTTTATTTCCTTTTCTTTCTTCACCTTCTTTTTTTTTTCCCGGGGCACTCCAGCTAGGGTAAGGCAGAGTATTTGAGAAGCCACCAATCGCCAAGTCCGACGACTTACGACAGTTATAGAGGCCACTCAGTTGCCAAGGGGATATACTGGTTACTAAGATAACCCCGTTGACGAAGTCAGTGGAAGTAGCCGGAGGTGTGATGCTATGGAAGAGTGAGCAGTTCCTGCTCGATCGATGTCTTTCTTGAATCACAGATTCGATAAAGCGAAGATCACATTGATCAGGGTCAGAATCAGCGAATGTCCCCTTTCGACGTGTAACTTCGTGCGACGGTGAGAAGTGTGAATAATGTTATTTGGACCAGACTATAGGAGACGTCAAATGAAACCTACAGGTCTCGGCTCTCGCTGTCTGCTGAAAGGAGTGGTGACCCTGCACTTTAGTCCGACTAAAAAACTTTTTGGATGTATCTTGGACATATTAACTCATGATGCATGCTTTCTTTTGTACGCATCAACCAAGGATCCGGAAACATCACGATCAAGGCAGCTGGATTTTGCAAGTGTACCCACAAACTGCTCAATTATGTAGTCATGTTTCATTACTTGGGTTGCATATAGACAGACGCCATCGATGTCTCTTGATCAAGCACACTACAAATATGTGTCCTATATAGTCTAGTCCAACTTTCAACTTTTTCACAAAAACCTCTGAACTTTCAACTTTTTCCCCCGTACCCAACTTTTGATGATAAATAACTAACTAAATGGGTAAATTTCTTCTTACACCACAACAAGCTTTGGAAATGTTACTAAACCCCCAGTAACTTTGGAAATTTCAGATAATTAATCCCCAGCCCATTTGATTTTTTTCACTTAAACCCCACTAAACATAATTTTTCTTATGTGTGTGATGCACGTGCAGAAACTACACTCCACATAGATTCTACGGCCGTGAGCACGTGGTAGGGAATAATTCACCTGAATCACCTCCATACGATGAGGTCACATATTGCTTACATCAGATTGTTCCGTACAGACAAGATTAGGTTTATGTGGTGGCCAATCATGCCCCCCAAATGCAATTATCATAACGGATTACATGAAAATGGAAGCAAAAGATGACACAAAATTTTAAGGTAATGATTAATGAACCAAAAAAGTTAAGATGGGACAAAATTATGTTTATGTGGTGGCCAATCATGCACCCCAAATGCGGATTACATGAAAATATGGAAGCAAAAGATGACACAAAATTTTAAGGTAATGATTAATGAACCAAAAAAAATGGATTTGGATCCTCTCCACTACAAAAAAGTAGTGGAGAGATCACTACTTTTAATCTCAAGCGTTGATTATTTAGTAGGCGGTTATGATACAATCTAAATCTAACACTTACCATACCCTTGTGTATTGCACTCATTCCTAATTTGCACTAAAAGAAAAAATCATAACCATCAACTAGATAATCAATAGCTATGATTATGTAGTGGTCCCTCCACTATTTTTTTTGTAGTGGAGAGGATCTGAATCCAAAAAAGATGGGACAAAATGCATGCATGCATGTAGATGTCAAGGAATAACGGCACAAATCAAACACTAAACGAATAACGGCAGCAATAAAAAATATCACAAGCAAGCAAACACCAAAATTTAACATGGTTCGGCAAATCGTGTCTACGTTCACGGGGCAATCCAGAGAAAAATATTTCACTATGAATCAAGAGTACAATCCCTCCAAGTTACACCTGAACTTGAGAATTAAATCACAAGAGAAAGATACAGTGTTACCTCTAGGGCATCAAAACCCTAAAACCTATCTTACCAAAAATCTCCAACTCCCGTGGAGAAATCAGCGCACACACACACAAATAATATCTCCTCTTTGTTATTGCTTTTCTTACTATTTAGGCAAGTCAGAAATAAATATCCTTACATTACCTTGACTACTTCAGATTTTGACAAAATCTATGATAATATTTATCAAGAATCTTAATTTCGTCAAATCTAAAATAATATACATGTGTGTATTTTTCCTCCAAAATTCAATAGCATATAAAATTTTTAGGGATCCTCTCTACTATCAAACAAACTGTGAGACTACATACTACGTACTTCTCATCTTCATTATCCATTTTCTTCAACGGGTCAGAATTAAAAGGAAATTACTACATCACATGTTAATTTTTCACCCAATAGAAAGCAACAATAAAAGTAAGAAGTACTATTTGAGAATATCTCCAACTACAAGAAAACGACATCATATAATATTTTGAAAACATGAGAAATTTGTAATGATACGAGAATAATCCACGGAATTCTAACCCCACCCCCAACAAATAAAGTCCACATATTTCTCATATTTGCTCTCCTCCACAACGTACGTACCTACATAGCTCACGGGACTCAATTCATGTATATATGCTCCGGCATTATATAGCTAGTTTCCACACAGCTTAACTCTCCTCTATATAAACTCTCTCAGCACTACAAATCAAACATCTTCTCTCTCACCTTATCTCCTAATTAAAAAAAAAAAGACAATGTTGACGCAATTTGTCCCCTCCCCTAATAACAAAACCCCTTCTATAGTCTTTCAATCTTCTTCTTCTTCCTCAAGCCGATCTTTACCTTTAATAAAATCTCTTTCGGTTCTCCAGAAAAGTAAACGGATCCGATGTGCGTCAGAGGCGGTGGACACCAAGCAGGTGGCGGCAATGAGCGCCACACCGGAGGCAGTGGAGGAGCAGCAGGTGGCACTGAGCGCGACGAAAGGCGACACGACGACGGTGAAGGCGGAGGTGAACGTAAAGATGTCAACAAATATAAGCTTGACTCGGGGGCTTGATGATATTGGAGATTTGCTTGGGAGGAGTGTACTGCTTGAGCTTGTTAGTGCCGAGCTTGACCAGGGTAAGTAATAATTTAGAACACACATTAAGAATAATTAGCGTCAACTTACATGAATAATACACTTTTTAATAAAGGGTTAACTACGCGTAGATTCCAAATTGGGGTGTAATGGAGGGGAATGGAAGGAAGGAGAACTTTTCGCCTTCCTTCCCCTTCCTTCCCTTCCCTAAGTCATCTCCCAAACACACTGTTAGGTTTGATATATGCACATAAACAATCTGAAAACTAAATGCTATATCAATTGAATATATATAATCTCTCCTTTCTTTTTTTTCTTATTTTGTTTTGGGTGGAAACAATAGACCAGTTGAGACTCCCCGTACCTGTTTTCATTTAGAAACTTTTAATGTCAACGAATGCACAAGTGAATCCATAATCCATTAAATCATTACCCTTCTATTTTTTTCCCCTATATAATAAAATCTATTTTTTTGTTGATTTACTTACTTTTACCTCCAACCCCATATAGTTGCATACCCGACAACAGTTTTCATCTACAGTGATACCAAAAAAACACTTGGACTTGTAGGTAAAAGGGCAAACATATAATAGACACCAGTTTTCGCTTACAAATTTGAAGACGACTCCACATGCGAATATGAGTAGGACCACATCAAGCATAGTAGAGAGTATAAGACTAGGATTGGGCGTCAGCCGGGTTTACTCGCGGGCTGACCTAGCCCAACACGTCATGGATCACGACCCGGCCCGGCTTGGCCAATAGTGGATCAAGCCTGACCTGGTTCGTGATATATTTGGGTCATGAGCCGGTCCGGGTCCAGCCCTAGATTCGAGACCAGAGAAATAGGTCTGGTCCACCATTGACCCTGACCGACCCAACGTGGCCCACCATTGACCCTGCTCGATGTAGAAGGACGGTCACAATGACAAGTAAATAAGACCTTACCTTGAAGAATTTGACGAATATAACTTGGAGGAATTTGATGTAGAATTGGCAGAACAACAGTATTCAGGCTCAGGATTCAAGCAGACAGGGTGGCGGTCGACCGTGGAAGTCGACCGCGTTCGTGTACAGTGCTTACTATGCGTTTGGATCAGTGGCGGTCGACCGCGCCGGTCGACCGCAGAAGTTTCTGTTTTCACCGCGGTCGACCGCAGAAGTTTCTGGATGGTCGACCGCGCCGGTCGACCGCAGAAGTTTCTGTTTTCACCGCGGTCGACCGCAGAAGTTTCTGGATTCGCTGCTGCTCTGGGATTGAGGGCGGTCGATCGTGACGATCAACCGCGACCATCCGTGATGGATCGCGGTCGACCACCGAAGCGGTTTGGGTATGGGTGCTGTTTCTAGACCTGTTTCGTTTGGGAGTTGTATAAATACCCTTAACTCGGTTTTAGGGTTTAAGGGAGAGGATTTTGAGCAGCTGAAAGAGGAGATTTGGGGCTTCTATTGTTGGAATCATTTGGAGAGATTAAGAGGGCTTATTTGTGGGCTTTGATAAGATTTGTAACCCTAATTTGTATTCCCCTTGATTTCAAATAGTAAAACTCCCCCCCTCTTTGCCCCGTGGACGTAGGCATATTGCTGAACCACGTATATCTTGTGTTCTTGCTGTGATTGGGTTGCTTGTGTTCTATTGTGGTCTATTATTGGTTCTTGTGTGTGCTATTGACTTGTCGATTTGGCTTCTGCGGCGCACAACATTTGACTCCTTGAACATTAATGGTTAACATATTTTTGTTTTCTTTTTTCCTCTTGTACTTGTAACTTAAATTTAAACTAAAGGAAATTTATTAACTTCTCGTGAACATTGGTTTTCCATAATGACAACAGACCAATTGAAAATCCTTTTAGATAGAAATGAATTTAAGTTCAGTTGGAAATTAATGTTAACTTGATAGACATTGTTAGTAATTTGTAATCCAGCAATTTAAATTATCATGTAAAAACTATTCTTGGTATATGGTATCAGAAAGTTTTAAGAGCTCTTAGATTCAAATCCCATCATAGTTTAAACAATATTAGTGACATTTTTTTTTGTCAAGAAATTGTCATTTTAATTTCTTTTAATTTGTTTATTTTTAACCAGAGACGGGCGATGAAAAAGAGACAATAGGAGCCTATGCTCACAAGAAGAAGAGCCAAAACAAAGGTGAGGTGAAGTATGAGGGTGAATTCTCGGTTCCTAAAGATTTTGGTGAAATTGGAGCAATTTTGGTTGAGAATGCGCATCACAAAGAAATGTATATCAAAGACATAATTTTAATGACCGGGGATGAGACCACTGCTCTTTATTTTGACTGCCGATCGTGGGTTCACTCCAAGTTTGATAACCCGGAGAAGAGAATTTTCTTCACTACTAAGGTTAGCATATATCATATTAATCTTTTTTTATTAGATTTTATTATTTATTTTATTTTTTTGGGAAATTGGATAATTATACATCTTGAGCGAAGATCGATCAATAAGCTTTCTGAAGGTAAACTATCAAAACTATATTTGCAAGATATGTATATGAAAAACTAACGAACAGGGTACCTTAAAAATGATAAACTACTGGGTTAAAATTACATTTTTTTTTTAATTTGATTTTATTGTTGTTTTATTATTATTATTATTATTTTGTTTGGCTCAATGGAGAATTGAATATGCCGCTGACCACTCTTCTGTTGGAAACTTACCAACTTTAAAGGTTATAGCAAGCAGATAAATCCGAATAAAATAAATAAGAGATAAGAAAACCAGGCTTGACGGGAGCAGTCGTGTAATCACTGTCCTAGAAGATTGAGAACCCGCCTATCGCCCTGACGCAAATGGTTCTCTCCCCCCTATCGGTAAAAGCTCCCGGAAATGGTAGGCCTCCGTACTCGGGCGAGAGTACAGAGCTTCAGCTCAGATGAAGAAGATTACCCAAAAAATTAATAACAAAATTTATAAAGGGGAAAAACAATTTTCTTTAAACCAGAGGAGAGGAGAAAAAACTTTTTTTTTCTTATGTTTTAGAATGTGAATAAGGGTGTATTTATAGGGTTGAGGGAGAGAGGATTCTTTTCAATTTTCCGATGTGGGACTAAAACACAAAGGCAAAATTACATTTTCTTAATAAATATCCAACAATCCCCCTCAAAAGGAAATATTGACTGAAAACTCAAAATGAATAAATAAATCAATAAATCACAAAAAGAAAATAGGTTGGGCAACCTTACGTATCGTGGATTCGGGAGAGGTAGCTTTCGGCTTTGAACATTTTCTTAGTGAGTTCATCGCCACTTGAGGGACATAATGGACTAAGCCTTGAATTAGGCCCCTTGAATCAGGTATTGATAAAAACACACACAATACGTCTTCATCTATTGAGCAAAGCGGGTTGAGCGTTAAAGGCCATGCTCACAATAAACTGACTCATGAGAGTTTCTAGGGGTTAACCCAGCCCCCCTAACCGCAGCCATCACGGTTCCTCTCACGTAGGTAAGTCCTCAAAGGATACTACAACTGTTTATTTAATACCCCCCATAATACACACGTTGGACTTATTAAGAGTAAAACTCAGCCTAGCCAGCTGTATCATAAGAGCATTATCATCATAGAGAAGGGGTAGTAGCACAAGCTACATAGTGATATATGAATATATCTGGGTCGATGCTCCACACGAGTGTCACTAGTCCAGCTTGTTTCTACCACATTGAACCAACATTGGGACTACGTCTCCAAATAAGGGTTGGGTTGCCGCTGTCAGTGACCTCATCTATGGGCTTAACCCCATCTCCCTCGATGAATCCAAAACCACACTCCTGGATAGACCCTTTGTCAAAGGGTCAGCAAGATTCTTTTCACAGACTTTACAAAGTCTAGAATCATAACTTTGCCTAGCAGGCGTTGTATTTATTTATCAAGTTCTTATTTTGTAATTAGTCCATCATATTGTTTGAAATTGACATTAGGTCATGGTCTATGATCATAAAAGATCATAGTCTATGTCTGAAGATGTAAACACATAGTGTTTGTGCAGATTAGGATTTGACCTTAATTAATATTTGAACATTTCAAACTAATGTGGAACTAAAAAACTACAGTTATATATTTACATGCATGCATATGCACATACATGAATGTAATTAATAATAGATACATGTAAAGCATTAAAGAGAACCTTATAATAGGATTTCGTATCTTAAAATATATTTCACTACATATGCATAATTTTTTTTAAAAAAAATTTCTATTATAAGAGGTTGCAAATTTGGTTGCCTTCTAAGGAGACCTTCCAAATTTAAATCGGTTGCCTACGAATAAGACCTTCCAAATTTAAATTGGTTGTCTACAAAAGAGACCTTCCAAATTTATGTTACCATTTTCTAGTACCACCTCTTATACAAATAATAATAATAATAATAATATTTGTACATACGTGCTTTAAATTTTACAAGTGCATTCTTGCATAAAACCTTGTAATTAATCATGTAACAAATGCAAGTTATCTAAAAGGACATATGAACATTTATTGCAATATCCATCATAACACCATAAAAGAGATGAACTTTACATTTGAAGATTTAAAATATAATCCACCATATAAAATAGAATTTTAAAAGATGCACCTCTTTGATTTGGTTCGCTCATATATTGATCATTTATCATTAGACAATATATGATGCAAGAAGCGTAATTAAATAAATGCATATGAATTTTTCTCATAATTTCGGTTCTTCTTATTCCTAACCAAAAACTCCTTAAGTGAAAAGATTAAAGTTTTACCCGGGTAGTTAGCCAGGTAAGGATAGTACTAGAGGTTGATCAAAGATCAATTAAGTACCTCGTTCCTTACAGAGCGCATTACGCAACCCCTAAACCTTGCCTTAGATACCAACTAATCCAAGAAAACTTGAACCGGTTCACTCAATGAGTTTTTGTTCCTTAATAGTATATAGAAACTTTAAAATATTTCCTGCAAGCATTTAATTTTTCAAGCAATTATAATGCAAACATATGTTGGATAAGGCCGAGGAGGGGTTTACCTATTGATGTTCGAACCTCATGATTTAAATGTCGTGAGAACAAAACCCATCTATAAAGCTTACACATTAAAGAGGATTAATGAAAATAAGCATTTAACAGCTCAAATTAATCAGCAATAAACATGAGCAATTAATCACAGAGATAATCTTTACTTTTAAAATGAGCAATTAATCACAGAGATAATCTTTACTTTTAAAATAGGCTTTAGAAACCAAATTTTCATAGAACAGTAATTGTATTTTTATGAACAAAGAAGAATAATTCTCTGATGAACAGTGCTTTATGTAAGCATTAAGCATATTTTTTTAAAATAAAATGAACATTAAAACTGTTTTTAAATTAACAATAACATTTTTTTTTAAATAAATAAATGAACAGTAACATCCTTAAAATAAACGAACAGTAACGTCATTTTTTAAAATGAACAGTTACATTCTTAAAAATAAATGAACAGTAACATCATTTTTAAAAAATAAACAGTAACGCCCTTAAAATAAATGAACGGTAACGTTATTTTTTAAAATGAACAGTAACATTCTTAAAAATAAATGGACGGTAAGTCATTTTTTAAAATGAACAGTAACGTTCTTAAAACTAAATGAACAGTAACATCATTTTTAAAAATGATCAGTACCATTCTTAAAAATAAATAAGCAGTAACTTTTAATTATTTATATATATATTTTTAAAATAAAACAACAAGTAATTAATCAAAAGATAAAAATAATAATTAGCAGAGACTATTTCGGGTGAACAGTAACAAAAAATTTTTTTTAACGAAAAATAACTGAAATAATATGAACAATAGTTTTTCGGGTGAATAGTAACAAAAAATAATTTTTTTTAAACAATGTTAACAGCAGATATATGAATAGATCTAGATGAATAGTAACATAAAAGATGAATTTTTTTGGATGAACAGTAGACTATTCCAATGAATAGTAACTTTAAAAATAATTTTTCCCCGGATTTAAATCAAAAGCTATAAACTTATCAATCTTCTAGATTGTTGAAAACTTACCAACTTTAAAGGTTATAGCAAGCAAATAAATCCGAATAAAATAAATAAGAGATAAATAAGAGATAAGAAAACCAGGCCTGATGGGAGCAGTCGTGTAATCACTACCCTAGAAGATTAAGAACCCGCCTATCGTCCTGACACAAATGGTTCTCTCTCCCCTAGCGGTAAAAGCCCCCGGAAACGGTCGGCCTCCGTACTCGGGCGAGAGTACAGAACTTCAGCTTAGATGAAGAAGATTGCCCAAAAAATTAATAACAAAATTTATAAAGGGGAAAAACAATTTTCTTTAAACCAGAGGAGGGGAGAAAAAACTTTTTTTTTCTTATGTTTTAGAATGTGAATAAGGGTGTATTTATAGGGTTGAGGGAGAGAGGATTCTTTTCAATTTTCGGATGTGGGACTAAAACGCAAAGGCAAAATTGCCTTTTCTTAATAAATATCCAACATCTTCTCTTTTTTTTGGTCAATGAAAAACTTTTATTCATTTACCAAAATATGGAAATTATGTACATCTCTATCTCAAAATTGAGAAAAACTAGTTTCTAAAAACAAAAAAATAGCTGAATCACAAAGAACTCAGTCATTCTTTATGTACATCAGAAATTGGACTATTCAAACATATTGTGTATATATCTGTTTTGATGATCATCACCAGTTGATCTACTCTCTTGAACCTCTGTTTGAAGCTCCTTCCATTCCTTTCTTCCCAAATCCTATACACAGTAGCCGCAAAGAGCTAATCTGCCTAGTGTTATACCAGTTCAACAACATACTCCAATCACATGTTTGCCAATCAAACTTTAGCCAGTTAATGATAGCTAACCATACATCTCTTGAAAAACTGCAGTCAAAGAAAATATGCTCTCTGTTCTCAATACCTGCACATAGAAGACAACTGTTTGTACTGATAAATCCTCTTTTTAACAATCTGTCTTGTGTTTGTAGTCTGTTCAGCACTGCAAGCCATAGCACAAATGAGTGCCTAGGGTAATTCAGTTTCCCCCATACCGTAACAACCTGTGAAACTCTTTTTAACAACCTGTGTTTGTAGTCTTTTTAACATCTTCTCTTTTCCTGTGAAACTCTTGGTTGTAGATGATTTCTAACACATGAATTCGTTGATATGCTAAACTCCATCCTTTTTTTTAGTCCAACTTAATTTTTATCAAAGCAAACACCAAATTTCCTATATTTGTTGGAGACTCACCACCAACGGTTATATACTTTGTTTTTGCTCTTATTGATCAAAGCAGATGTACTTACCGTCAGAAACACCCAGCGGCCTTCAGAAGCGGAGGACAAAGGAACTGGAGACCCTGCGCGGGGATGGGACCGGCGAGCGAAAGTGCTTTGAGAGGATATACGATTACGATACGTACAATGATCTCGGCGATCCCAACGTTGAGGGGAGAGCGAGGCCGGTCGTCGGTGGCTCTAAGCAGTTGCCTTACCCTAGGCGATGTCGGACGGGACGGCCTAAAACTAAGAAAGGTAACAAATTGGCGATGTGATATGAGTCGCACTTGCGGATTCGAAATTTTGGATACAAAAATAATTGTCGGTAAAAAATAGGATGATCAGTCTCATTATTGCTAGCCTAACTTTCGGTGCCGCTTTAACGAAATTGGAAGCCAGCTCACGCACATTCTTGACGCGCGCACGCGCACGCAGCCTACCATTAATTGTAGGATACGACATTACTTCAAAACTCAGATGTCAAATTGGAAATTTGTACTGTTGAATATGCTATATATAGTAAACGTACGTTTTCTCTGTAAATAAAAATTCCAATGATATGAATGCGTTATAATTATAGCAAGGGCCAAAAAATTAATCAATTTTATGAAAATTTTGAGACCTTGATTTGGATGATACATGATATATATATACATGATTAAAACGCTCTCAGGTCATTCAAAATCTTGCTTCTAGACAGTTGATATATGTAGTAAATTATATACCTCTCTTTTCTGGGTATATATGGCAAGTCGATCATTCTAGCCTCTAGCGACAACTTAATTAATTAGTTGTTAAACGAGTACATCACAAAATTATGCATACATAGCTTCAACTATCCATGAGCTAAAAAATGTATTTGTCCGTCATTTTCAACTGCAGATCCGCTGTCAGAGGAAAGGAAGAGCAACGTATACGTCCCAAGAGACGAAGCCTTCTCAGAAGTGAAGCAAAAGACCTTCTCAGCGAAGACTCTTCGTTCGGCGTTTCACGCCCTAGTTCCCTCCATTAGATTGTCGATCACCGACAAAAAGATTGGTTTCTCAAAATTCAATGCCATTGATAAGCTCTTTATGGAGGGTTTGCCTCTCTCAACTGAAGAGGGAGTGGGCGACCTCTTCCATGCAATCATGCCTAGGCTTGTGAAGACTATTGCTCAAGGTGCTGAAGATGTACTTAGATTTGAGACGCCGGCAATGATACATAGTAAGTTATATATCATGCAGATATACCTCTTTACTCTAAAAAGACAAAAAATAACCTCGAAATTGAGGGCAGAAATGTAACGCTGCCTTATTAGGAGCATAGGTGCATGCACGTTAATTAACAAAATTTTTAGAGTATATAAATGAGTATACTATCGTAGTGTGAGGGGTGTATCTATAATTAATTAACCCTTTCGGTATTATTGGTGAATAACTTGGAATTCGGTGATGTTGTGTTGTAGGAGATAAGTTCTCTTGGTTCAGAGATGAAGAGTTCGCACGGCAAACTCTGGCTGGCCTTAATCCCCTTAGCATTCAGTTGGTTACCGTAAGCTCAGATTTTCCATTTTGCTATGGATATATATGTTGGTAAAAAACATGCACAAAAATCAATCCGCCTATTTTTTATATTTGACTTCATAATCAACAAAATATTGAATTTTTGGGATTTTATGTGTGTGTGTATATATATATACTTACATATGCATGTGTATGTTTGCGTATACACGTTGTATTTATGCATATGTATGTTGTGCATATATGCCCGGATATATGTATGTATGTCTATATGTTGTGTATGTATGTATGTGTATTACATATTTATCATCTTTTTAAGCAAAGATATATACAGGGATCGATAATTAGTATGTAAATGTTAAGAGGAGGTATTCTGGCCGTTTTAATGTTAAAAACTTTTATTACAAACCCCTGGGAGGTGTTGCCTTCCTCATTTGTTCGAATTAATATCGTTTTGCTCCAATACTTATCTCAAAGTTTATTGCACCGTGCAGGAATTACCATTTTTCAGCGAGTTGGATCCTGAGATCTATGGTCCTGCAGAGTCTGCATTGACTGAGCAAATAATCGAACGACAAATTAAAGGAGATATGACTGTGAAAGAGGTTTAAAAAGCAAATTAATTTTATTCGCATGATCATAACATATGATAGAGAAATTAAGAGTCTGTTGGACTGGCATATATATATATACCAGTGGTTGGCTTCCGCTGACATGACGCAATCCAGATTACAAAAGTGCCTCTTTCATCAACTTGCCCAGATTGAAATTTGTGGTCTGGATCGTGTCGCATCAGCTAATTTCAACGAGCCGAGGTTTTGAGCCCCATTTTTTTCAATATGACATGCGCTTGTAGACCTTGATTATCAAAATAGAAACATGCACGAGGCTATTTTGGATATACCCGCGGTATTATGGGATATAGTCATCTATGCATACACACTGACATAAACATTTTATTAGTACCTACACCTTCTGAACTTCAGACGTCATGATTATTTTTTCTTAGGTTTAGTGTCACGCAGAAACACGTGACTGATAAATTTTTTTGCCCTCAGTTTTGATGGAATTTGAAGAACACAACACTCTACACAAAGGAAACTTTTATTGATAGAACACTTGAGAATACAACACTTGTTCTTACAAGAACACCTCACTTTCACACAATTCCTTTATTTTGGTGGACACTCACACAAGGCTACACTACACACTCAAGCTTTCAAGCTTACTTCTTGCTTGCTTGCTTGCTTTCCCAAATGAGAGCACAAGACCCCTATTTATAGTTGTTTAAGAGGGCTAGGAAGTGTGTAGAAGAGTTAATCCTAGCCATACATTACTAAGAAGTTTCTAGAAGAATAAATACTAGCCATACACTTGTATCTTCCTAGAAACTTCATGGTAGATATTTTGTAGGATGTTACTAGAAAGAAGTTCTAGAAAGTTGTTCTAGAATAATCTAAGTTGGTGAGGAATTCTAATACTCCCCCTCATCACCAACTTTCATTTCTCTCAAGTCCAAGCTTCTTCTTAAGCTTCAAAAATGTCTCTGTCTTTAGTGGCTTGGTGAAGATGTCAGCGATTTGGTCTTCAGACTTGCAATATGACAGCATCACAGTCTTCTTTTTAACTTGATGTCGGATGAAATGATATCTTGTCTCTATGTGTTTGCTTCGTCCATGTGCTACCGGATTTTTGGCAAGTGCAATAGCTGACTTGTTGTCGATGAGAATCTCTGTCGGTGCTTCTTGTTGGTGTTGCAATTCCTTCATCAGACTCCTGAGCCATATTGCTTGACACGCACATGTCGATGCTGCTATGTATTCTGCTTCGCAACTTGATAGAGCGACGACAGACTGCTTCTTTGATGACCATGAGAATGTTGCTGATCCGATATTGAACATGTAGCCAGATGTGCTCTTTCTTTCATCTAAATCTCCACCATAATCGCTGTCGGTGTAGCCGACTAATCTTGAATCTGCACACTGTGTATAAAATAATCCTTGATCAATACTTCCTCGGACATACCTAAGAATTCTCTTGGCTGCTTTGAAATGCTCCTGTCTTGGCTCCTCCATATATCTGCTCACCAGTCCTACCGCGAACACTATGTCGGGCCTGGTGATGGTTAGGTAGCGCAAGCTCCCGACTAAACTCTTGTATAGAGTTGGATCAATATAGCTTCCTGGTGTGTCTCGCCTCAGCTTCACTCCGACTTCTGCAGGAGTTGCGACTGGATTGCAGTTGCTCATGTTGAACTTCTGAAGGATATCCTTTGCATACTTCTTCTGAGAGATGAAGATTCCTTTCTCTGATTGCGACACTTCTACTCCAAGAAAGTATGACATTTCTCCAATGTCAGTCATCTCGAACTCCTTGATCATATTCTTTTTGAACTCCTCGAACATTTTCGGATTGTTGCCGGTGAAGATCATGTCGTCCACGTAGAGACATACGATCATGATGTCTTCATCCTTCTTCTTGGTATAGAGAGAGTGCTCATACGGGCTCCGATGGAATCCGTTCTTCTGGAAGTATGCATCGATTCTGGCATTCCATGCTCTGGGCGCTTGCTTCAGTCCATACAATGCCTTCTTCAGCTTGTAGACTTTGTCTTCTTGATTCTTCACCTCGTACCCTGGTGGTTGCTTGATGTAGACTTCTTCTTCTAAGTAGCCGTTCAGGAATGCAGACTTCACGTCCATCTGGTAGATCTTCCACCGGTTCTGTGCTGCCAATGCGATAATGAGTCGGATGGTGTCGATCCTCGCGACTGGTGCGAACACTTCTTCATAGTCAACTCCTTCTCGCTGACTATAGCCTTTTGCAACAAGCCTGGCCTTGTACTTCTCGATTCCGCCATCTTGATTTGTCTTTGTCTTGTACACCCACTTTACTCCGATTGGTTTATGGCCTTCAGGTAAGGTAGTGAGCTCCCATGTGTCATTTCTCTTGATTGCCTCGATCTCGTCATCCATGGCTTTTCTCCACTTATCTTCTTGAGCAGCTTCTTCATAGCTGACCGGATCACATTCTGCAAACAAGCAGAATAGTGTGTAGTCATCCATCATCTCGACAGGCTCTGTATCGTCGTACAGATCTCTTAGGCTTCTCATCCTCCTTGTTGCTCCCCCTGAAGAGCTTCCTTCACTTGAGCTGGATGATGTCGGCGTTGATGTTGGGGTTGATGGAGCTGGACTATTAGGTGGACTTTGTTCTGGTCTTCCAACCTCCTGCAAGTCATCATCATTATCTTCAAAGAACATACCTTTAATATTTTTATCTTCATCGGTCCATTTCCAATAATCTTCTTCATCGAACTCCACGTCTCTTGAAATGATCATCTTCTTTGTAACTGGATTGTAGAGCTTGTATGCTTTTGTCCTCCTCTCGTACCCAACGAATATGCACTTTTCTCCTCGATCGTCCAACTTCTTTCTTTTCTGCTCCGGGATGTGTGCATATGCAATACACCCAAACACCTTCAGGTGGTTGACACTTGGCTTGATGTTGCTCCACATCTCCAATGGTGTCTTGAACTTGACGCTCTTTGTCGGACATCTGTTGAGGAGGTAAACTGCACAGTCCACGGCTTCAGCCCAGTAAGTCTTTGGCAGGTACTTGCTCTTCAACATGCTTCTGACCATATCAAGAATGGTACGATTCTTCCGCTCTGCTATGCCATTCTGCTGTGGTGTGTAGGCGGCAGTGAGTTGATGAATTATCCCGTACTGCTTGTTGAAATTGTTGAATGCCTTCGAAGTGTATTCTCCACCTCGATCTGATCGGAGCACTTTGATGTGGTACCCACTTTGCTTTTCTACCATCTCCTTGAATTCTTTGAATTTCTCCAGAGCTTCGGATTTCTCCTTCAGGAAATAAACCCAAGTTTTTCTGCTATAATCACCAATAAATGTGAGAAAATACCTATTTCCTCCAAGAGAGATGACTTCAAATGGTCCTGCAATATCTGTGTGGACCAATTGTAGCAACTCTGTTGCTCTTCTTGACTTTCCAACTTCGAAACTTCTTCTATGTTGTTTGCCCTTCATACAGCCTTCACATAGCTGGTTCGGATGGTTGATTTGCGGCAATCCTTTTACCATTTTCTCCTTCCATAGAAGATTCAGGCCACTGAAAGCGAGATGCCCGAATCGTAGATGCCAGAGCCAAGTCTCGTCTTTTATGATTGACTTCAAGCACTTGACAGGGTCAGCATGAATATTTAAGGTAAACAGTCTATTTCTAGACATGTTCACCTTTGCAATAACTTCATTTTTATTTTTAATAGTGAGGGCAAGGTCTTTTAGATGTATATCATAGCCTCTTTCAAGGAGCTGGCCTAGGCTCAAAATATTATTTCGTAATGCTGGAACATAGTAGACATCAGAGATGTACCTGTTCTCGCCCGTCTTTGTCTGGATCATTATATTTCCCTTGCCTTTTACTGGAATCTTTGACTGATCTCCAAAAGTGACATCTCCTTGTACCATCTCGTTCAGCTCGGTAAAGAACTCCTTGATGCCGCACATGTGGTTACTGGCACCTGAATCTAGATACCAGATATCTTTATTCTTGCTTTCGCTCTCCTGGTATGTCAGCAGGACTGTTGAAGTGTCTGCCTGCTCCCTTTCTACAAAGTTACTTCTTTCTGCCACTTGATTTGATTTCTCCCAACATTCGTAGCTGAGATGACCGTATCTCTTACATTTGTAACACTGTGGCTGAGATCTGTCCTCATGGTAACTTCTTCCTTGTCCTCGTCCTCGTGTGCCACGACCTCGTCCTCGATCGAATGATCGTTCACGATCTCTATTTCGATCTTGATTTTCATGGCCTCCTTGGTACTGTCTCCTACGACCTTGCTGGAAGTTTGAGCCACCTCGAAATGAGCCTCTGCCTCTGTAGCCTCCACGTCCTCTTCGACTATCTTCTTTGATAGTCATCTTACTCTGCAAGGCTTGTTCTAGATTCTCCGCTTGATTTGAACTAATGTTTATATCTTGTTCATAAGCTTGCAGAGAACCTTGCAGCTCATCAATAGATACTTCGGAAAGATCTTTAGACTCTTGTATTGCCGGAATAATATATTTGAATTTAGAGTCTAAAGTCCTAAGTATCTTCTCCATAATTCTTACATCATTAATTGCTTCTCCATTTCTCTTCATTTGATTTGTTATTGTCTGAACTCTACTAAAATAATCCGATATTGATTCTGTAGCTTTCATCTTCAAATTTTCAAATTCAACTCTTAATGCTTGGAGGCGTACCTTTTTGGCTCTTTCCGCACCTTGATAGGATTTTTGTAAAATCTCCCATGCTTCTTTAGAGGACAGGGCATTGGAAATCTTCTCAAACGCAGATTCATCTACGCCTTGGAATATTAGGAACAAAGCTTTTTTGTCTCTTTTTCTGACCTCCTTCAACTCACTCTTCTGAGTGGCGGTGAGAGTTGCTTCTGCTGCAGGTGACTCCGGTTCAGTGTAGCCATTCTCTACGAGATCCCACAAGTCTTGCGAGCCGAGCAAGACTTTCATCTGGATACTCCAGTTGTCGTAATTGGTCTTCATCAGCTTCGGAATCTGTGGCTGGATCATGTTCGTCATCTCGTACACGAGCACCTTCGATTGGCCCAGCTAGATCGAACTTTGCTCTGATACCACTTTGATGGAATTTGAAGAACACAACACTCTACACAAAGGAAACTTTTATTGATAGAACACTTGAGAATACAACACTTGTTCTTACAAGAACACCTCACTTTCACACAATTCCTTTATTTTGGTGGACACTCACACAAGGCTACACTACACACTCAAGCTTTCAAGCTTACTTCTTGCTTGCTTGCTTGCTTTCCCAAATGAGAGCACAAGACCCCTATTTATAGTTGTTTAAGAGGGCTAGGAAGTGTGTAGAAGAGTTAATCCTAGCCATACATTACTAAGAAGTTTCTAGAAGAATAAATACTAGCCATACACTTGTATCTTCCTAGAAACTTCATGGTAGATATTTTGTAGGATGTTACTAGAAAGAAGTTCTAGAAAGTTGTTCTAGAATAATCTAAGTTGGTGAGGAATTCTAATAAGTTTGGCAATTTAATTAGTTCTTTTTTTCTTAATTAGATGGAGGGCAAAAGAGTAATTTGTCGTTATACGGTTCCCATGCACACGACATCTTGACCTGGTGATCGATGGAAAAATAATGTCACCTGGATTATATCTAGAGTTTAGGTGCTATAGTAAATTAGTTCCGAAATGCACCTGGCTACATCCCTCAGTACGAAAGATGCGTGCTCAATTAAGAAATATTCTACAAATATTACTCTTCTTAGTCTCCTCCGCTGCTTTTTTGCTATTTTCAGGCGTTGGAGCAGAAGAAACTTTTCGTGCTGGATTACCATGATTTGCTCTTACCCTTCGTTCACAAGGTCAGGGAGTTAGAAGATACAACACTGTACGGATCTCGCACGGTGTTCTTTCTAACTCCTGAAGGAACGCTGAGGCCTGTAGCCATTGAACTTACAAGGCCAAAGTCGCCGACAAAGCCTCAGTGGAAGCGCGTTTTTACGCACTCTTGGGATTCTACCGGGACTTGGCTGTGGAGGCATGCTAAGGCTCATGTTTGTGCTCATGATGCTGGGTTTCACCAACTTTATAGTCACTGGTACGTAATATAATGCTGGTTATGCCTTTTTCTTTGTTTTGTCTCGTGAAAATTGAAATTTTGCGTGAAGCTAAATATATATGCTGAGATCAGATTAAATGAAAAATGTGACCCCTCCCATCACAAGCAAGCCCCTTTTATGAGAAAAACTTGTAAGTCAATAATTCAATATGCTCATCAACATAATTATGATTATCTAGTACGTTCTTCTGACGAAAGTCAAATCATTAAAGAAACAACGTACACATTTTATTTTCCTTTAGGGGTTCTTAATTAATTAGATGTTGGTTTAAATAGTGTCCAATTGTGTACGTGTACTTCAATTAATTATAGGATCCATGTCTTATATGTATCTGATGATGTCTGTACCACTGCAATGCTGATCCTTAAGTGGTTCCGATTTTTCTTAAAATTAATATGGCTTAAGGGGATAATGTCAATATGTAAATTAATATTGGCATTCTTCATCAATGTTTTGCTTTTTTTCAATTTCTGTCCAGACCCATGATAAATTAAGAACAAAGGTTGTGTTAAATAACCGACAGTCGTGAAAAAAAAATCTAATCGGATCTTCATGATGTGAAGCCACAATATATAGCGACATTACTGCTAGACATGAATCTATGTATGGTTCAAACTCGAGCTCTTTTAGACTGAACCGCGTCTTTGTGAGCCCGCAGGTTACGGACGCATTGTAGTACAGAGCCATACGTAATAGCATTGAACCGTCAGCTGAGCGTGATGCACCCAATCTACCAGCTACTGCACCCACATTTCCGATACACGCTTGAGATCAATGCCCTTGCACGTGAGTACCTCATCAGCCATGGCGGCATAATTGAGACCAGCTTCTCTCCTGGTAAATACGCCATGGAGCTATGCTCTGTTGCATATGGTAAGCTGTGGCGATTTGATATGGAAGGATTGCCAGCTGATCTACTCAGAAGGTAAACTCACTGACAACTTGAGTTTCACTAAATTTTGATTTCTTGTTACAAGATTTGAGATAAAATGCATTTATTTCTCCAAGGTTTCTAGAATTGGCATATATCCCTCCAAAGTAACTCTTCTCTCCCCCATGATAGAGTGCCTAGAGAACTAATATAGTGGATTTTAGAAAAGAAACATGTATCTAATACACACACACGCATGAGATAGCGTAACAACTAGAGTAATGAATGAGAGACTAAACCTTTTTTTTACTATAGGTTTATATCAAGGGTTAGTCTTAAGTCCTTACCTTTTTGCATTAGTTATTGACCAATTTACTAAGCACATTGAGGATGAAATCTCATCGTGTATGTTATTTGTGGATAATTTAGTGTTAGTTGACGAAACTAGAAGAGCTATCATTTCTAAAGTAGAAAGGTAGAGACAAGCTCTAGAATCTAAAGTTTTTAGAATTTTAATAAAAAAAATAGAATATACGGAGTGCTATTTCAGTAAAACTAATAAAGAAAAGAGCCTATAGGACACATTGATGGTAAAAAAAATATCTAAAACTAATTATTTTTACCATTTAGGATCAATCATTCAGCATAATGGTGAGATTGAGATGATTTTGTTCATCGAATCAAATTAGGATGGTTGAAATGGAGGAGAGCTTCGAGAGTCTTATGTGATCATAGAATATCAATGAAACTAGACGGAAGATTCTATAGGACAGTTATAAAACTAACAATACTTTATGGGTTAGAGTGTTGGGAAATTAAAAAATAACACATGCAAAAAATGAATGTAGTAGAAATAAAAACGTTACAATGGTCTTGTGTGTATACACTAAAAATAGGTTAAAAAATGAGTGCATCTGTAGTAAATTAGATGTTACTCTCATTGAGGATAAAATGAGAAAAAATCAACTAAGATGAATTGATCACGTACAACGGAGACATCTTAGTGCACCGGTTAGGATAAGTAATAATATTATAGTTAATGGGGCTAAGAGATCTAGAAGTAGACCTAAAAGATTTTAATTGAAAGTAATTAAGAATGATATGATTATAATTAACTTTACGGAGGTCCCATAATAAAATAGAATGGAAAAATAAGATTCATTTAGCCGATCCTAAACACTTGGGATAGAGGCTTTGATGGTGCTGTTGTTGCTGTTTGTCTCTCAATATTTTCATAACTTGCATTTACACATATTTAGCTTTTTTTCATCATTTTTCTCCCTCCCAATGTTTCTATCAGTTGCATTTATACCTCTTTTTTCAGTTAATTTGCCTTTACAAGTGGGTCATGTGTTCTTCTTTCAGAGCAAATGTCTTGAATGATCCTCCCCCCTCTTCTTGTCCTTTTGTATCCATGATACGAACAAGATTCAACGTAGCCCAAAAATGGTTCATTCTATTAATATATTTATCATACGAGTACATAAGGAGGTTGAAGAACATAACACATATTCAATTACCAATTTTAAAGCAGTACAATTAATATATACTATCAGTGCAATTTGTACATGTCATCAGTGCAAACTGCAAATAATTAAAAATACCAGTGTAGTCAGAATATATTACTGCAATCATGAACTGGAAATATGTGCTGATATATGTCTCATGCATGTTTCTACTTCATTTTCTGCGTAAAACCCTCCATATTAGCTTCTTGTTTTTAGAAACTAGAACATAATGAATAGTACTCCAAATCGTCTGTCTTTGTCCGTGAAGTCTAGATTGTAGATAGATGATTTATACAAGTTGGAACTACCTACCTTGGGCCCTTTCATATATAGCTAAAAATCATTTTTGAGCTTAATTAAAATCATGTCCAAAACTCTAAATTAATCTCAACTACAATCTCTTCAGGGGAATGGCAGTGGAAGACCCATCAGCGGAGCACGGCCTCCGATTAACAATCGAAGACTACCCCTACGCCAACGACGGCCTCCTCATTTGGTCCTCCATCAAAAAATGGGTCTCCGACTACGTCACCCGCTTCTACCCTACAGAAGCCCAAATCCAACAAGACTCCGAGCTCCAACAATGGTGGACCGAGATCAGATCCCTCGGCCACGCCGACAAGCAACACGAGCCGTGGTGGCCAACACTGAACTCTCACTCTTCCCTCATTGAAGCTCTATCCACCATCATCTGGGTCACGTCTGGTCATCATGCTGCTGTTAATTTTGGACAGTATCATTTTTCTGGGTATTTTCCAAATCGACCCACCGTCACTAGGTTGAATATGCCCGTTGAGGATCTGCAGAGCGAAGAATATGAGAAATTTCTCCAGAAGCCTGAAGCTACGCTGTTACGTTGCTTTCCTTCGCAGGTACAAGCAAACCCTCGGGTACGGTGTAATTACATGGAGGGCTGTATATTCACGCTAATAACCCTGAGATTATTGATTGTACCTCTCCAAATATCTCCTGTGTGATTACAATCAATAATCTCAAAGATACATGCGTAGATTGATACACAGACTTTAGGGTGACCCAGAAATTACATCCTACCTCAAGGTAATTGGATGTAATTATTAACCCTTTCATATATTAATCATCATAGTTGAGAAATTTCTCCAGAAGACTGAAGCTACGTACGCTGTCACGTTTTCCTTCACAGGTTCAGGCGACCGTTGTCATGTCCATTTTAGACGTTCTTTCGAACCACTCGCCGGACGAGGAGTATCTCGGAGAGACTGCGGAGCCGGCGTGGGCGAGGGACGAGGAGATAAACGCGGCGTTCGAGAGGTTTCATGGGAGGATGAAGGAGATAGAGGGGATTATTGACGGCAGGAATAAGGATCCTGAGCTTAAAAATAGATGTGGGGCTGGGATTTGTCCATACGAGCTTTTGAAACCATTTTCGGAGCCTGGAGTTACTGGAAAAGGAGTTCCAAAGAGTATCACTATTTAAATTTTTGTAGGTCTATGAATTGAATATGAAGGAATTGTGTCCTTTAATCGAATGTGCAATTACTAATTATGAAATGGGACATTTAATGGAGATTTACAATCCGGTTATTTTAGGTAGTCATAGTGCTTTGCTAGAAGCCAACTATGATTTATGAACTTTATATTATAAAGTTCATTGCTATTATAATTGGGTCCTACGAGGTCACACCCTAAGAGTTTATGGACTGGATATATTGGGAGAATTATAATATAAAGTATATAATATAAAGTTATATAAGATATAACTTCGAAATAGAGTTTATTAATAATAAGGAGGTATTGTTAAATAAAGGATAAATTTATTTGTAAATGTTATAAAAGATAATATTTAATTATAGAATTAAATATAACTTTAATTAGTGGATTATAAATAGGAGTGGTTTTTCTTTTAGAAACTCGAATCCTATTCCACTTTCTCTATATACGTGAAAGTGTTACTACTTTCTCTCCCAAAAACCTTTCATCTTCAACCTAGCAGTTGATTTCTAAGGATCCAGATCTTTGCTCGGGTGGATCAACTAGAGGAGTTTTCAAGTGAGACTCTCAATCTCTCCATTAGAGAAGGCTTTGAACACGCATCAAGAGGTAATCGTTTTTCCTAATTCTTAATCCAATTGATTTATGCAATAGATCCTTCGTTTAGATGTTAGGAAAAACGTTTCCTGCAATTCCGCTTAGAGCATCTAAGATCCAACAAAATAAGCCTATATTCTAGAGTTTTTCTTTCCTTTTTTTTTATCCCCTTCAACAAAATTATGTGTCAGTATGAATATGTATGTACTAAAACTTTGAAAATGGAACCAATAACCATGTTTGAAAATGGAACCAATAACCATGTTTATTAGGTTATTTTTTATATTAATGTGGCTGAAAGCTTTGCTGGGAAGATTATAGTTATTATAATATATATATATATATATATATATATATATATATATATATATATATATATAATGAGTTTTTTTTATGGCGGTCATTGACGTAGGAAGGAGTTTCCTCGTATGGAGCTGATGTGGCTTAATCTCAGCCATAGATCTTAATTTGAATGGGTGTATAATGGGTCTGAGGCAATTTGCCAAACACCCTCGTGTGAAGAGTGTAGACAACTCATCACTCTCTTCTCTCTCTTAAACGCCCCCCCCCTCCCCCCAAGATCCCCAAATTCTCCAATTCTCCCTCCCTGTTCGAAGGACCCTTCCCTCGCTCCTCTCTCGACACCGACGCCGACACCGAGCTCCCCCCGTCATTGAGCTTGTTCGTGGACAACTTGTATTATGATTTGTGCTCAGTTTGCATTATAATTTTGTAACAGCCTGTAGCGTGTTTGAAGAACTTTGAGGAATGTTAGAGCATGTCAGAGCATTTTGGAGCATGTCTTCAGCATTTTGGAGTATTTTAGAGCATGTCAGAGCATTTTGGAGTCTGTAGCGTGTTCGAACAACTCCTGGCTGAGCTCTGTTTCCAGGATGATGTTTGTGGTGGCGAAACCATGTAACTTCTAGGATGATGTTTGTGGCTGAGCTCTGTTTCCAGGATAATGTTTGTGGCTGAGCTGTGTTTCCAGAATTATATGGGTTTTGTTTGTTGAATTTTGTTCAGGGTCTACATATTTTAAAGCTACAAGTCTTGTTGATGTTGGATGAGTTTCATTAAGGAATATGTTTAGTTTTATTCCCTTTGGTTGCATTATAATCTATCCATCTTAATATTTTTCAACATATTATTTTTCTTTCAGCTTAGCTATTATTCTTCATGGAAATGGTTGGATTCCCACCCACCCCACCCCACCCCATTTAACACCACATCTTCCCTCCTTTAATGCAGGATAATGAAAGTTGATCTTAAGTTTCCTTCCAAACCATTCTAGTTCTAATTTATGTCATCAGCCTAAAATACGCTCATCATAGTCCCCGACTGATCCAGCTCAATGGATAAGTAAAATTCTGGATCGATTTCCTTCCTATCTTAAAAATTCTTTTTGATAGATATGCATTCATTGCCAATGTTGTTCTTCCTAATAGTTCTGATGTGATCAATACATTGTTATGCAATGATATATTCTTTATGAAGACTCTTGGACACAACATTATACACTCGAGCAATAGTAGAAGGTGTCATTCTTTCTTCACTCAAATTCTCAATAATTCTCTTGCAAGTCTTTGAGCGATGCCTTTGCCTGTGGGAATAATGATTAAACACTTTATCAGGGCTCGATAATAGATGGCTTGGGTGCTCTCCCTCAAACTTCGTGACAATCCATGTCTTGGAGGAAGTCAACTTAATCTTCATTCTTGCGGGATAATCCACTCTAGTATCTGGACGGCGAATGATAAGTTTTCCACACTCTCTTATCTAATAACCTTTTTCTCCCTGCCTTGTTGCAAACAAAAACTTGAGAAATAATTTCTCTTGACTTTCTTGACTTATCGGCTGTTTCCTTGCGGATTCCAAAACTCATTTTTTGCATAAGAATTGTAATAGTTGTATGCCTCCTCTAATATAGTAAATTCTTTTCCCTCGTATGGCGCCTCTCCTATGAAAGTCATCTCATTCGGGCCTACAAGAGCTGTATAAAATTCACCATCAACATCCATAATATTTTGGGTATAATTTTTACTTAGTCCATGGGTGCACATCATATGTTTCAACATTCATTGTTATCTGAATGTTGGCAGCCATTCGCGGGCCAAAATTGAAAACCACTTAGTCCAATTGGGTATAATTTTCACTTAGTCCAATGGTTATTTCTCCTCTTAACCTTATAAAAACTCCCATATAACTTTATCCGAAATATTTTCATCCATTTCTTTAGTGATTAAATCTCATTTAGCACCTCTCAAATTCATTAATGATGTTTGCATGCTCAAGTTCATTCATAAATGAAGCCAAGAGTAGTGAAGGTCATAAAATCTAATAGCATAAAGAATAAACGAAAATAAATTTTAAAATGATCAAAATGATTACATGTTCGTGACACGTATAACTAAAAATGATCTCCTCGTTGTTATCTCACCATTTTCTCATTATTTTTGCTTTTCGCATTATTTTCTCTAAACTAATCAAAGTCGAAGCCAAAAACTCACGAATACTTATTGAATATTAAAATATATTTATTCCGCTAAAGAATTTAATTTTTAAGTATTATTAAAATTCATAAATAAAAAATATTCCTTTATATATTTATTCCGCTAAAGAATTTAATTTTTAAGTATTATTAAAATTCATAAATAAAAAATATTCCTTTATACTATATATATGATGTGTATTTATCTTTTTAAGTATTATTAAAATTCATAAATAAAAAATATTCCTTTATACTATATATATGATGTGTATTTATCTAAATCAAAATTTAATTAGAAAATAAATTTAAGATTATTTGAGTCTTAAAACCGGTATATAAAACTTAAGTAGAAATGATTATTTGATTAAGATTATTTAAGATCTAAAATTATTTAATTTTTTACCATTTTCTCATCATTTTCTCTAAACTAATCAAAGATGAAGCCAAAAACTCACAAACATGATATCATATATGCAATAATACAAATAATACCATGTGATCAATTTTAAACTTAATATACGAATCGAATATACATCTGGTCGCTAATACTCATTGAATATGATTGAATAGTTATTTGAACAATTATCGAACTATTTGTCAATTATTTGATTCATTTACGTCCCTAGATGTAACAATTTACATAATTTGGTGGACTACTTTTAAAATATTATAGATTTGAGGGACTAATATTAAAATATTTCTTAATTTTTTATGGGGCCACTCATTAACAATGAGATAATCAAATTACTAATGTTAATTTTTTACGATGGACACATTAGCATTGACGACGGATCGCCAATAAGAATTGACGATGGAAAAACTTTGGCGACGGATTCGATTCGTCGCTGATAAGTATTGGTGACGTATTCGAATCCGTCGTCAGTAAGTATTGGCGACGGAATATTGGTGACGGATTCGCCAATACTTATTGGCGACGGATCGAATCTATCGCCAATAAGCATTGGCGACGGATCGAATCTATCGCCAATACGTATTGGCTATGGAACATGGGCAACGGATAAAATCCGTCGCCAATACTTATTGGCAATGGATCGAATCCGTCGCCAATACTTATTGGTGACGGATGTGATCCGTCGCCAATGTTCTCCCGTCGCCCAAGGTTATGGGCGACGGAAAATCATTGGCGACGGATTTCAAATCCGTCGCTAATACCCCGTCGCTAATGCTCAGTTTTCTACAAGTGACATGTTCGCATTTCCACTATAATTCAAAGAGTAAAAAGCTATTTTGTAAAGAAGATTTTTCTTTCCTTTTTCTTTATCTTACTTTTCTCTTTCTTTAAGGACATTCTAGACTATTCAATGATTTGAAAATAATATTGAAACTCACATAAGAGGTGGCAAACAAGCCGACCCAACCTAATCCATATAAAATTTGAGCCGACCCGTATAATATTGACCCGATGCAACCCATCAAATAATCGAGTCAATCCATTTTATTAAACGTGTTATCCACCTACCCGAGTGACTCATTTAATTGTTTTATAGTTTTCAAGTACTTAACATAGAGTCCATAATCAAAGTTTTTACGGCCCTACTTATCATTCATAGGATTTATATTGTTTAGAAGTTTAGATATTTTTAGGATGTTTTTTGTAAAATTTGAATTTTGAGGATGTTTTTATAAAGTTTAAAGTTCTAGGGTGTTTTCTACAAATATCATTTTTTCAGTGAACTTTTTCTAATTTATAAACTTTATACTCTTTGTACATTTTGACTTTTCAGATTGTTTTTTTATTTTGAACTTTTTAAGGTGTTTTTTTAATTTTTCTTTTTGAATCTTTTAGGTGTTTGCTGTAAATACCAAAATTTTCATGTTGTTGTTTATAAGCTATAGATTTTGTACTATTTTTGAGCTTTCATATTTCTATCGTGCATTATTGTAAAATTTGACTTTTTAGGGTGTATTTTGTAATTTGTAACTTTCAGGGTGTTTTATTACAAATTTTAAATTTTAGACGTTGCTATATAAGTTATACATTTTC